CCATGCCCACGTCCATGTGTGTGTGTGTGTGTGTTGGGTTCTAGGGTGTAGCCTGCACTGCCATGCTGGTAGCAGTCGTTACCAAGATGCTGGCGTTGAACAAAGGAGAGAAACATGTGCACTTCTTCATGCTGGACATCCAGATCTCTAAAAGGGTAAGAGCAACAAGTGAAGTTACTTAGCAAAAGGATTATAACATTAAAGTTTGCATTATGAAAACACTGCAATACATCTATAAGGAGTACATGGCAACTCACCGATTTATGATTCATTCTCTGCAGCTGTTTCTTGATCAGAAGTGTAACTTCTGGATGTACGCGCATGGCCATTTTCACGCGGGATTTTGCTGTTTCTTATCCACTGACAGGCTTCATCTGACAAGTATTACTTCAAAGACGATACCAGTATTTTTTTTGCATGTTTCAGCCCATTTACTACAAATCATGCATACTTTACGTTACTGCAAACTCTGTTTCAAAGCCAGCTGAAATGTTGTAGATTTTGGAATGTACCTTCTCATTCATTTTTATATGAGAACCAGCTTGCAGAAAGTTGGAACTTGTTTTAGTAAGGTAATCTATCTCAATGAACAGCAGGTCTGTGTTTATTGTTGTCAAAGTCACTGGAACATTGTGTGGTAATGCAGCTGTGGTATAGTGCAGAATGATTAGAAAAGTCTGTTCTGCAGTGCCAGACGACAGTAACATAACTCGATCAAAAAAAAGTTAAACATTTGGTATGCTTTGGAAAATGCTTGACAGTTATGTAAAATATGTTATCTGTATTGAAAGAGACAAAAACATGTAAAACCAGCATACCATAAAGTAGAATTCAACAATATATAAAATAGAGTCTTTACATACAGATATTAACACATAACTATAACAGCTTAATAAAGGACAGATGACTCTTAACCTAGAAAACGTAGGTGTAGCAAAATGTGACAATATAAAGCCTAATGACATCACGAGGAACATCATACCAACTTAGACAACGACAAACAGATCTAAATCCAAATGTCCAATGTAACAGGTGCAAAACAAAGTGTATTTCTTATGATTGAAGGTTCCCTACAGGAGCTGTACAACCTGAAAACAGTGGCTGTTATTTTTGTGATAATATTTATCAAATAATTGAATAAACTTTCCTATACAACCATTTAGTAAACAGTTAACTACCCGGGGTTACTGCCCCGTAGCAAGACAAATAAGAAGAACGACAAAGCGGATGGAGCGGTCAGGATGGAAGCGTCACTACTTTATTGGTGTGGCTTGCGTGTTTTGGTTTGTGAGTCTATTTAGAAGAATTTTTTGTTTTCCTTCAATAAGAGACACCAGAGGACAGAATAGTGTGGGAAAGGAGGAGGGAGAAGCCAACCTCTATATAGCATTTTCAAGGTGTCAAACAGAGGAAATCATCTGACCTCTGTCAGGAAAGAAACCTGTGTCAGTTCAGGAAACCGGTGGTGCTTACGTACGTGTGTGCGAGCGTGTGTGGAAGTGGCTTCCAGAGGACTTTGTTTGTAGGCTTGGACAGGATTCAAGTGTTTGCTTAGTGATGGGAAGAAGGAGGTGTCTGATAAATAAACGATTGTAAGGAAACATGAAGCCAGAAAAGTGTCTCAGGACTATACATAAACATGTAATGATGGATAGAGTTCCTAGTATATTAGTGTCAGTTTGTGTTACAGCCTCTTGCTAGCAGTGTAAAGCAGTGTCTGAGTGCGGTAGGTGCACTGTTTTGGAGGATACAACCATTTCCTTTCTCCCGGTGGCTGCATCCTGTCACTTGCTGCATCTTTATGCCTTGCTTGTGATTGCTCTCGTCCGTGTGTGTGTTTTCGTGCATCCTTCTGAGCTATCTGGTGCATTCCAGATTTACACCGATGGGAACAAGGGAAGACATCTGGATGCAGACACTGACAGCCTCTATTAATAACCCTCACAACAGGGCCAGAGTGACATCATCACAGGGCACTTACAGTGATTTGTGCAGGAAGCCAAACAGACATGAATAGAATCAAAGAGAAAGGTGCAAAGGCAATACCGGAGGACTTGTATCCCTCAATTAGTCTGTGTGGCCTGTTCAAATTCTTGTATATGAGCATCTATGTAAGACCTGATAGTTCTACTTGTATCTGAAATCAGCATCATATAGATAAATAGTTCCGCAGAACGGACTATCTGGATTTAATCGGCTGCCTTAGATGACTCACACTTTTATTTCCTATGCAAAAATGATTAACATGAACCAGATTCTGTCTAAGAAACATGATAAGCGCTGTGTTAACTGTCAAGCTTGCATGTTTGATTGACTTTATCTCGATGGTCTTATCATGGTCGTCACTGCTCCTGCAACCTCAGCGGTTTGATCGGTTGATATTAATGTGTCTCTCTCTTCACCAGATCCGGCACGCTGCTGCTAATGTGCTGAGGGAATGCTGGCTTCTGCACCGCACACACCTGACAAAGGGCAACCGCGGTGAGCACCGAAGACACCAGAGATGCCTTCTGGAAGCCATAAGAGTGTGAGTTACTGTATCACAAAATGGTGGAGTCAGGCAGGATGTCAGTGTGTGTGTGTGTGTGTGTGTTTGTGTCTGGGCAAGGGATGTACGTTGGTGGTGGGTTGCATGCCTTCCATGTGTAATTTACAGGTCATTAACTTAGTGTCAACATGCTTAACCACAGAGTCACCATTGTTAATGGATAATTCACATACCGATTAGTTTTGTTGGCCTATTGTCTGTGGGCGAGGCATGTGTGAACAAGGGTCCACCCTTTTGTTACACCGAATTCAAGACAAAGATCTTAGACATACTTGCAAACAACAAATTAAAGCACACTGGAGCATCTTCTTTTTGCACGTAGTTTTCCATTTGAGTTGTGTCTCTTTGTTCATGAGCCCAAGCTTCTAAGAACAAGTGGATTGCACAAGGCAGGAAGTCAAGACGTATGACTGTATGCTTCATTATCCCGACAAAAGGATCATGTGTGTGAGTGTGTGTTATAGTGGGTGGAGGGGTTGTACTTCCTGCTTCAAACCAGGGAGAGCCACTATAAATAAATACACTGTGGAAAGTTCGAGCAGGAGGCACCTCCACCCGATAGGATTAAGAACATCATGAGACCATCGCTCTAATGTCTCCAGAGACTGGCTGCAATATTGGCTTCCATATGTCATTTTTTGGTGGTTTCATCCATCCCGGGTACACCAGATACTACATTTAGCCCTTTTCCACCTTTATATGTCAAAAACCTTCCAGCAATGTTTTATAGCTACAAACACAGCGTGACTTCTGCATGTTGAGTAGTGGAATACTCAGCATATTCCTCCACAGATCAGAGTTTCTGTATTGTGCCAGAAGGACAAAAATAGGACGCTCCATTTGCAGATGTGCGCTTCAGAACTCATTGGAGCATTTAAAGAGGCAATGCTTAAGATTTCAGTCCTGGTTGTTTTGGAATTTTTATTTGAGGGAAAACAAAGAAATTGTGCCTTGAGTTTTGGGGCCTTGTGCTGCATCTGACATTAGATAGTAACATTTCAGCATTGAGAATTGTGTGTATAGTAAAATGTTTGGTTTGTATACAATGGAGAAAAACTGTAATACCTCAATTCTTTCCAGGAATGTTGCCACAGAAACCCATTTTGTAATACTGCAAATATAGAGATATTGCAATACTTTCATCAGTGGGCCAGAGGCTCCATCACCTTTGTGTTACCTTCCAAGATTGATAGTGACATAACAAATTATTATTACAATGAAAAATCTTCGAGAATGCCACTTGAAACCCTGAATACTACACAGTAGTGTCTTACTGTTCTTGCACTAGAACATGACATTTATTTGAACAGAACCCTTTTCTGTGACTCAGTGTAACATTTGGAATAATACAAATGTTTAAAATACATGAATGAGATCTTTTTTTTTTTTTTTTTTGCACAGATTTCGGCATTTACGCCTCAAACAAAAAAAGCTGAGAGATTACGTCAGTGAGATGGTGGACCTCCCTAAGGTAAATGACAGCTGTCACCGGAATGTTTCACTGGAAAGGCTCGACTAAAAACACTCACTACTTACATAGACTATTAAGCAGTATTTTACAATCTGCTGATTATTGCTAGGTGTTCAGACACATTAAATGCTTGATAAAAATCTCCATAAAATGTCTCAGGAGTCATTTGTGTCAGGAATTCACAGGCCCAGAAAAGTTTTCCATGTGGTAAAAACCCAAGATATAAAGACGTGACCCAGTGAGAGGCACTAATGTGTAATTTGTGGACTTTAAAATGCATTTTCCTCATTGATTTATAGTCTAAACAAACCTAGTTTTTCCAGACTGCACGTGTTGCCCTTTGCTAAGACGTCAAACCACTGCAATCAGTTAGTTACAGTCTGACTGTCGTGCAGTAAACCGAATGCTGCGCACTCTTACTGACTGAATGCAGCTGAGCCACAGCCAATGAGAGCGCAGAGGACTAAAAAAGAAACCAGATTTGTTGCTGTTGGCTTCTTTTTTTAAAGTAGGTTGCAAAAGGCCCTGCTAAATGTAGTGACACAGTTTCTAAGTTGGCAACACTGGGTTGGTTTCGAGTCAGGCAGTTTCATTATAAATCTGCAAGATAGACATAAAATGTGTCTGCCCCAAATAAAGTGAGATTGAACTTCCTTAACATTAGACTGGCTGCAGTTTTGAGCCCACTGTTTTCACCTTGTAAATACAAAAACTTTTGCATTTGCGTTGTGTGGATGATGTCAACAGATGCAGATGATCATGTGCGACCTCAGCGCCAATTGGAATAACTCCTATCGGGAGCTGGAGCAGCGTATCCTCTCCATGGAGCAGAAGCTGGACGAACTGAGTCGCTGCTTCCAACAAACCACTGAGCTACTGTCTCAGTTCCTACGTCACCGCAACCCAGAGATCAGGTACAAGCAACCCTTAAGGCTTCTAGCGACGCTGCACATATCTGCTATCGACACAGTGCAGGATGTGGTATCCAAGCTGAATCGTGAATAACACGTTTTTTTGTTGTGGATTTTTTTTTTTTTTGCAGGTGACACGGCTACATACATTTGTTACCGAGACAGATAATTGTCTTCAGTGTTTTCATCGACAGTATCCATGAGGCTCTCGACTCCTAGCATGCTGAACCACTTGAAGGACTGGCACACCTACTACAGATCTCATCTTCTGGCGCAGTGACCTGCACAATGACTCTAATATTATACGGATAAAATAAGACTTTCACTCCTTGTGTGAGAATCACACAGGACATTTTGAGAAATCTCAAACAAGGACTGTGGAGAGCCTTGTAATCCACGTTGTCAAAGGCTCCAGAGTATAGATTGAACCCTAACCCTGTTTGTAAGGTTTCATTGATGGACTCTATCACTGCTTTATTCCTGTGGAATAAGACACATATTCTTAGATGTTAATTTTATTTGATATTTCTTGCAGTTATTTACAGCGTTAAACTAAACAGTCTCATAAAAAAAAACAACCTCTCATCCTCTTTTTCATTAGCGGACAGTTTAATGGTTACTAAGTTCATGATTGTTCGCAAACAGGCTTATTGAATATAATGCAATCTCTGACAATTCCTCATTGTTCTGCTTCCCTCTTACCCATCCATAGAATTGTGAATGCAATGATGTGTGTTGATGCTCAAACAAGAGAAGAAACTCAACTTCAATCCAAGTATCGTGGGAAGAAACCTTTATTTCAAACTGTAAATCCTTGGGCTTATAGGAGAGAACAGAAACGCATGGATTGATGTTGACGCTCATGGTTGTAATCATCTGATGCAGAAATAGCATCTTGCAGTTTACACCTGCTCTGAGAACAATACAACTTGGGTGTGAGTTGTCTTTAAAAGCAACCCAACAGCTCCATCTAGTGGACATGAATATAGTAAAAAATACATAATATTGAGGAATGTTAACTTTGAAATCATGGAGATTATATAACTGCAAAAAAAAAAAGACATGCTATTTTCAACCTTAATACTAAGACCTCTATAATGTCTCACAGGAGCATAACATTTGAATCAGCTGCAGTAAAAACAAAAGGACTCAGAAACTCCAATACAAACCTCACTCTTAAGAATGCACTTTGTGAGAAGAATAAATAATGGCTAAACTGGACTAACTCGTTCTCTGGAGGATAAACTGGAGTTTTGATGTTTTAATCTAATCCAATACTGGAAATAGTTCCATGTGGGTTAATGTGTGTTGTCAAATGACTTTAGGAGTAACTTGTTCAAACGTTGTTTATCTGTATCATGTGTCATTTGCACGAGGTGAAAACATGTTAACAAGCATCCAGGACATGCTTATAATTATAATCCATTAAGGATGAATGTATTTGAATGTCTGAATGTGATTTTGCTTTCAATGTTGTCGTTCAAAATTAAACAAAATACTGTAACGACAATCGTAATGTTGATTTAACCCTTTGTTTTCGAATGTGGTGCACATATCTAAAGAAAAGTACATAAAAGTGGAGTAGAAACCAGGGATGTGTCTGTCATTCCGAGGGCTTCTTCACGTGTTTAGTATTGGTCCTGTATTTAAGTTGGTGCCATATATAAGCCGAAGGCCTTAAAAAAAGTTGTCCACAGTCGCACGTAAAAGGCATTCTGCACTTCCTCTTAACTTTACGTTTCCATGTACGTCCAGAAAAGGACTTTTTCCGAAGCTTGCCCTTCATGTGCTCAGCAAAGAGTTTGGCTCCGGTGAAAGTCTCCCCGCAGCTGACACAGATGTAGCTCACGGTCTCTGCATGCTGAACGCAATGTCGCAGCAGGTGCAGCCGGTGCTTAAAAGCCCGGCCGCACTGGCACTTGTGTGAGCGGTGGCCTCTGTGGAGGTAGCGGTGGCTGATGATGAAGGAGGGCTGCCGTAGGATGGCACCACACTGCCTGCAGGGGTACGGGGTCTTGGAACGCCAGCCTGTGTTCATACGTTTAACCAAAGCCACGTCCTGGCTGTCGTTCTCAAACAAGGCCATAATCGTGGGCATCGGTGGGGTGACGGGGTCGGAGGCTGGAGTTGTATCAGTGGCACCAGGAAGGACACGTAAAGGTGTAGGCGGACGGCTTAAAGACTGGTTCTGTGGACCTTGGGCAGCGTCTTTCCCCGATCTAACAGGTGCAGCATGGGACGCCATGCATACAGTGGCATGCAGTCTATCTGCGTGGGAGGAGGTCGAGACAGGGGAAGGTCTAGATTGCACAACAGTGGACAGAGACCCTGCATATGTTTGCCCAACACGGCGCTTTCCATTCATGACCTGGTTGATCACATTTGGACTACTGGTGGCTGACTGGGCTGCTTTTATATCAACCAGCGCTGATGGATTGGTAAGGATGCACACCTTGGTGCTGACCACCGACGTGTGAACTCTGGTGACGTGGTTTAACAACGTTTTCTCAGAGGTGAAAAAGGATTTGCATATGTTACACGCATGCGGCATTGACTCTGAACAAAAGAGGACCAGCGGTGATTTGGTTCCCTTGGGACACTGGTGGTGATGGTACGAGTTCTCGTGAGGGAAAACTTGGCTACAGACTACACAGGAATACAAAGGCATGTAGTGTTCCTTAACAGCCGCCTCAGTGAGAAAGAGCTTCTTGCACACTGAACACTGATATTTCACCTTTATACCACTACAGTGCAGCAAATGTAGCTTCATTGAGCGAAATGGCCCTCGACCACACGCAGCACATATTAAACTATTAACAGCAGGAAGGTCTCCAGGCGGGGTTTTAGAGTGTGAACTCTGAGAGGAGTCACTGGAAGAATCGGATGAACTCGAGCCACCGTCTGATTCTGGATCATCTGGACACAAGTCTGCAGATTTAGAGCGAGTGTTATCTTCGTCACCAGATTCAGTGCTCGATGAGTCATCTGCTTTCTTACATTCACTTTCCATGTCAATATCTTTATCGCCTTCATCCACTACATACTCAACACTGTTTTCAGATGTCTCAGCTCTCTCAGGCTTCATCTTAAGTCTTTGTTGAAGCCTCAACTCGGACTCTGAGTCACGAGGCACTGACTTTAAAGTGTTTTGCAGCACAGTCCCGTCAATGGGAAGGTCGTCACTGTTCTGACTCTGATTTATGGGCGGAAAAATCAGAGCGGGAGCTATTGGAAATGGCGAGCCGATGCACTGCGTCTCTGCATGCTTGTTCAACTCCCACGAGTTACTGAAATACTGATTGCACTGTTTGCAGAGCGGTGGCAAGTGTACATTATCCAGGTGCATGGAGAGGGACGTCTGGCGTCGGAAAGTAACCTTGCAGATGTGGCAGGTGGCTTTGATATTGTGGCTTTTGTAGTGCAACATCAAGCTTTTTATTTTGCGGAATTTTTTGCCACATTCCCAACATTTGGTCTCTGCGTGTGCATCATCCAACTGCCTTTTTGTGGATACACACCATTCTTCATCGCTGCTCAAGTCTTCAGACATAAGGAGCTGGTCCGGGCAAACCTCTGGGTGGTCTGTAATTTTAAGCAGAATGGACAGAATCACTTTAAAATCCATATTACAGGTTTTATTCTTGCATCCCAGAGCAATGATGAAGGCAGCTATTTATTTAGTCATTGTCATTATTACGATCACGATTATTATCATTAATCACAGTAATTATATGTTTGGTTTAGAGCTGAAACAATGATACTACAAAAAACAATGAGTTCAAATCATGTCATAATTGCTAGCGTGAGTCAATTATCAAACAGAAATTCATTGTCCCCAGAGGATAAACCCCACAAACTTAGTTATCCTCTGAAATTCCATCTAACACCATCCTTGGGTCAACATTTCAGTTAGTACACTAGCTTGGTTTATGACTAAATAACTGCAAAATTATTACATTCCCATCAGCCTCAGCTGTACTTTGTTTGTACAGAATTAGCAAATGTTAGCATACTACCACACTAAGGTTGCGTATACCTGCTAAACAACAGCATAGGAGCATTGTAAGTGTGAGAATGTTAGCACTGCATGTTAGCATTTAGCTCAAACCCTCCCTGTGTCCAAGTATAAAGATGCTAGCATGGCAGTTGTTGTCATATGTCATTGTTTTTGCCATTGTTATAGCACTTTAATAACATTGAGTTATAAACAAAAAAGCAATTTGAAGAGGTGACCTCAGGGTGTGAGAAATGGACAGGTTCACAATGTACTTAGTATTTAAAGACTTAACCGTCAATAAATCAAACAATGACAATAATCATTGGTTTCATCTCTTGAATTTTGACATGACTTCACAATAAACGCTGCCTCGATGACCAGCACAACCTATTTACATATTGTTTCTCTTTACAACCGTTTCTACGCGTATAGCTAACGTTACTTATGCTTTAGTGTAAGATGACGGCTGTGTTTGAACAGGAGACCTATATGTTACACTTTACACAACATAACTTACCTCTGTCCACAAGTACATGACCAGAAACTGCCGCCAGCTGCACAGAGAAAAGGGGAAATCATTTGATGAATCCAAACGATTGGTCCAAGTCAGGTAACTGTTACTGTGCGTTTCTTACAAGTATAAACCACTGGTGTCAACGTCCACTTGTATGTAATGATTAAGCACATTCCAAAAAAAGAAAACCCTTCAAATTTCATGTTTGACGAGACACCGTCATGATGTTGATGGCGCCCACTCGCCGAACTCCTCCATATCCGGTTAAAGCCGGAAGAGGGACGCCTACACCTCCCAGAATGCAACTGAATGTTGAATATTTCTACAAACTTCGGGGGAAACTTGTTTTCCATGCCGTACATCACTATTACTATGGTCCAATTAAATTAAAACGTTCTGGCGAGTTCAACCTGACAATATTTAAGACGCTTTTGAATTTAATTGAATCAACATGTTTTGTTATAATTGGAGCAATGCATATACTCAATATTTGTATAGTAATATTTGAAGTATACGAGTTATGAAACCCAACGTAACCTAATTTGATTATTATTATTAATGTATGTTACTTTCTTTAATTCAAGCACACAAAAGAGTAGCTGAAGAAGGATAAACCAGAGCAATTGGATATCAGTAAAATATACAGTAAAGAAAGCCCACGGATCCAAAAAGTGGCGGAACTACTAATATCATTGCGATGTTTCATGACGACTTCATTTACCACACGGACGAGGTTCGTTTGATTGGTTACCATTGCAGGCGGGTGGAGTTTCTTTCAGTACCGGATAACGCTGTGTTTTGAAACTAGCGCAGTGCACACGAAGAAAGCTTTAGCTAACTCTACTTTATTATAAACTTTAACTATGTCACCATTAAATATATCTAAACGTCATCGACAGTAATGGTGACAGGATTGCTAGCTTAGAGTAGATGTCTTGTTTCGAAGATCTTTGAGTATCTTTAGCTCGCCTCTGCTTGGACCTGGGTTGCTATCGTTAGCTAGCTTACTGTTGTCATCGGTTGTGTTGTTGTAGTGACTCAGGTGAGCAGCGACATGTCGGAGTCCGGTCACAGTCAGCCCGGGATGTACGGGCAGGGACGCCGGAGGAGGCGACGCCGGGGGGACAGAGATGCAGGACCTCCGGGGCAAAATCTGTCTGGTCCCAGTCGGGATCGAGAATATCAACCGAGGGAACGCAGGGTAACGTTAAGCCAGACTACAAACACATACTGGCATAAGGAAGTCTGCGTTGTTGCGACTGCTGGTTTGATTCCTGCACAAGAAAAGTGACTCACTTCAGTTTGTCTGTCCAGGATGGGAGCGAGGATCCACCAGGCCCACTCATTCAGAAGACCCCCATCATTCTTGCAAAGCCCCCTGGGGAAAGGGTATGTTAAGTTATCCAAGATACTAAACTCATCAAACGCATACATTAATAATGACACCAGAACATTTGGATTTGTCTAGGTAGTACTGTTTGAAGGGTTGTCATATTAACCACAAAGTACAAATATACTTTAGCATGACTGTAATGTGAAGTTAATGTTGTTATCACATTTGAGAAGAAAGTGTGGAAATAAATACTTTTAATGTTTGGCAATGTAAGGTATTTATAGTTATACATAATTCTTTCCAGAATTTACAATTCACAATGCCAACAAAAATGAGTCGCAGTTAATACGTGATCGTTACAGAAAGTACAGCTTGTTTGTATTCAGGTCTTCTGCCTCTCAGCTCATGCAATCTATCGACCTGTGCTGTTGTTGCATCCTTTACCAGGCCAAGTCCTCACAGAATGCACCTGTCAGTGGAGCTCCAGTCCTAGAGAAGCCCATCATGCTAATGAAAGCCAGGGATGATGGAGGGAAGCTGGGTACCCCTCCAGATGCGGCAGCTCAACCCTCTGGTCCTGGGCCCTCCAAGATGGAGAGGGAGGGGCAGCGACCCACCCAGCCTGTGTACCAGATCCAAAACAGAGGAATGGGTGCTTCCGCATCGAGCAGCGCTGTGGACCGTGAGCTCTTGTAGATTTCACAAAAATACCTTTTTTTCCCCTACTGTAAATGTCAGAAACTGTGATGTTTTGACTACTTGGATGCACTCAATAAGGCCAAATTACACCCGCGTAGAAAAGAGAAGTAAATCTTGTTTTCATGTGACTTCCAGCCATGGTTGGCCAGTCTAAACTCCTCCCTCCTGAGAAGATGAAGCACAGCATTAAGCTCGTGGATGACCAGATGAATTGGTGTGACAGTGCCATGGAGGTGAATTTAGTTTATTGTGGAACCATGGGTATTGAAGGATGTGTTAATATTTTCAATATAATACACTGTATGTACTCAAAGGAAGTTCTGTGTTCAACATGTGTTGCAGTATCTGAGGGACCAGACCGATATGTTGGTGGTGGGAGTCATTGGCCTGCAGGGAAGTGGGAAATCTACAATCATGTCCCTGTTGTCTGCCAACACTCCTGAGGAAGATCAGAGGTGAGGTTGGTAGTAACACCAACAATAAGGTCAACCTTGTAAACTGCTTGGTTATATGCATTTGTTTCATTTATTGATAGAAAACAGAATAGTGGCTAAAAGGGAAGTTGAACCATGAAGAAGTCCACAGTTAAAGGATGCTGACACAAGGATGAAGCTTTCCCCTAATGACAGAAAATATCATCTAGTATTTAAGAGGAATTTGAAACAATGCAGTATTGTTTGTCAGATGCCAGTTTAGTGTATGAGGTCAGTGTCAGCACATGGTGTCCCGTTGAAAATGTGATCGTATGTTGCTGTACAAGTTTCACCATCGAGTGCATTTTAAAGCTAACTGTTTGTTTCGAGAACATTAGAAGTACTAGCTAAATTGCTTATTCAGACCTTTACATCCCTTCTATGCTTTTTTTAAATTGCAGTTGTTGTACATCTTCTCTTTTAGCTTCACCAGTGCAGACATTTTAAATGATGGAATGCATGTTTGTTTGCTCAGGGGCTACGTATTCAGAGCCCAGACTCAAGAAATCAAGGAAAGAGGAGGAAACCAGAGTACAGGCATTGATTTCTTCATCACACAGGAGAGAGTCATCTTCTTGGATACACAGGTATGAATGTAGTATTTGCAGATGCAGTTTCTCTTCCTTTTTTCTCTAGTATTTATAAATTAGCTGTCAGTGTGTTGAGTGTAAGCAAGTCATGAACTGTGTAACTTGAAACGCTGTGTTTGGTTGAGGGCTGATGAGCTGTGTGTGTGAATTCCTTTATTTGTTTCTTCAGCCGATGCTCAGCCCATCTATTCTCGACCACCTCATCAACAACGATCGGAAGTTGCCTCCAGAGTACAACCTCCCTCACACATATGTTGAGATGCAGGTCAGTGGCTGGCCTGCAGATGGCAGCAGGTGAAACACCAGTTGTTTATGTGAGCACTGGTGCTTAACCTCTAGGGACCAATACACACCCTTTACTCCTCTGATTCATCGTTTAATGACGCATGTGACCACATTAGCACTCTGTGTATAATCTGTCAACAGTCTCTTCAGATCGCTGCCTTCCTGTTCACAGTGTGCCATGTTGTCATTGTGGTTCAAGACTGGTTCACTGACTTAAACCTCTACAGGTTGGTACTAGCTAATCTGCAATGGCTCTTGGTTATAGTTCGTGCCAAGATTCACAGGACAAAAAAAGAGGGTAGCTCTCAAATCCCCATCCTACCTCAGGAATGTTGAGCATTTGATCTTGTATGTTGAGGGAATATTTGTCTTCTGCTTTTACATAAGCTCAATAATATTTATCTTTCAGTTGGTCTTGTTGACAACAAATGCAGGCAAAACCAGAGGTGTTGAAAATGTACCAGTCTAACTTGTGTCGACGCATATTCATCTTGTCCAATACAATATTATCTGTTCAAGATGCCCACACGAAGTTCTAATCCTTCATTTGAGTAATTGTAGCCTCACTGTAAGACACTTTCCCTGTGTATACCTTTTCCTAATTAGATTTTTAAAAGTTTAACTCTGTAGTTGAAAGCAGCTGTAATCAGCTTAGTGGTAGCTACTGGAGAAGGTAGACGACACTAGCCTTGAAAGTACAGAAATTCATTTAAACCAAATGTAACAACTTGTATATCTTAAGAAGTTATGGAATTAAAGGATAGTTTTTTTAAAGTATGTATTTAAATTATATTAATATGCCCATACATGTATTGAAACATTGCTAATCACCCATCAAATGCAGCCATTGTCTCATGAATGCAGATGTTGGAACACAACAGGAAGTTGAAAGTTTTGTTTGTGTGTAGGTTTCTTCAAACCGCTGAGATGTTGAAACCCTCCACTCCGTCTGCAAGCCATGACAGCGCTGGCTCTTCAGGCAATGACGATGGAGCCGAGTACTATCCTCATATAGGTGACTTTTTAATACAGAAACACACAATCTCACACACATCAACCAGGTTTAATGAGCTTTTTAAAATGTCTCCCTCCTCCAGTGTTCCTCCAGAATAAAGCCAGACGGGATGATTTCTGCCCAAGGAATCTAAAAAACATGTATATGGTTGTGGACAAATTAATGGCCCACTCGCATCTCAAGTACAAAGGTTAAAAACTGCAAGAATATCATCTTCATACATAAACATATAGTCTGTTCATTCTGTGGCTGTTTGTAAGAGCTAACCTTGTTTAGTGGATGTGTCACGGTTCAACCAACAATACCACTGATTAGAATTAGTTTTAGAGCTTTGATTAACAAAATAGTTGCTCCATGATGCCACACCTGCACTCATCCCATAATACATGGTTTGTTTTTAGGTACATTGTCCATGCTAGACTGCAACATGTTTCCTGGTTTGGAGCAGGACTATCTGGCAACTGAAGTCAACATGTTCCTCCTTCCTATGCAGGAGAATGATGGGGAGGATAATCTGACTAAAGCAGGTTATAGAGAATGTATCTTCACATAAGGCACAACTCAATTGTTGTCCCGTATATTGTGTAAAATGTGAGTTCATCTTTGTACCGTGTTTAGGGACGGGAGCATACCCGCTCTTCTCTCTGCTCCCGGGGTACAGAGGACATCCTGCGTTCTCAACCATGGTTTCAAAACTGCGCAGCCAAATATTGGCTATGCCCCGCTGTCAGCTGTCACACACCATCCTCACTGAGAAGAACTGGTAAATGTCACATTCTTCAATGAAAAATACAGGAAATTGATTTTCTGTAAAAAAATATTTGCATATATTTTTAAATAGGTGTACGATATGATCTCAATGGGTTAAAAGGGCATTTTCATTAGATCTCATCTTTAAGGATAGTGCTCTCTTTAGTTGCAAATACAACATTTATGATAAAGTAGGTTTGTGTTTTTTGCCAATGAAACAGAACATGCATTTCAATAGAGTTTGTGCAGTAAAAATAGAGATTTACAAAGCATATCTTTTTTGTGTGTTACTATAGCCAGTTTAATTCAGTTTCAGTTTTTATTTATATTTTGTAGTTGTAGCCTTTATTGTTCGTAGTGAAAGAGTTTTCAAGGTAGATGTGTGGGCGAGCTTGTGGCAAAGACGCATACTGCATAAACTGCTCCTCTGCTATACACATCAGTTAAAAAAAACATCGGAACACATCCGTTTCATCAGGTGAATACAATTTGGGGTCTGTATAAATGTGTTGTGTTTTTACAGGTTTCACTATGCAGCTCGTATCTGGGATGGGGTGAAGAAGTCCTCCGCCCTCTCGGAGTACAGCCGCCTGCTCTGCTAACACCTTGGTTGAACTGCTGTCGTATACAATAGCAGTTGCAAGCTGTTACGTCTGATAATCAGGTCACTTAAAAGAAAATGTGTCTGTGAAAGTGGAGCCGCAGTTTGCACCCTACAAGAGGGACAAGAGAAACTGGAAGCCCGGTCACTGGTGGAGAGTCAGATATTAAAGCAGGACACCTTCTGTAGACTTTGGTGGGAACGAAAAGCTGAGAACTTTTGGTGCTCAGTGTCAGAAAGTTGTGGATCTCTGCACATGATCGAACAAGATTCGGATGGTTTTTTTTTGCAAGCCATTATGGACTTTGTGATGTTTTGGTCTGATGGTGCAGACATGAAAATATAGAAATCTGCATTTGTTTTTTCTTAATTTTCTTTCAAACCTTCAAAGTGTAATTGTGAATTACTCAGAAATAAAAGGAAACAAGTAAAACATATTTTGCATCTGGGTCATTTTTATTGCACTTTTCTTATGTCAGTCTCCAATGACTTATTGCTTTAAAACCTTTTACAATACAGTCTATGACCTCTATAGTCTATCTACATCCTTGGTACGTGGCTTTTGTTTCCCCTGAAATAACAAACAGCTTAATGTGCTTAAACCTGTTTGGTCTTGATTTTTTGAAGAAGAAATGAAACTCAAGTGTTGGTGGGAAACCACTTGTTGAGCAACCCTTGTCCCAGATGAAAAGCCTCATGCAGTTAAGAGGTTGCGTTAGGTTTCCATGATACACTTTTCTACACAGTTAGATATCAGATATCCAGTTACTGTATTAGCCCAACAGATTAAAAGAGTTATGTCTATTGTATATCTTTCCCAAATAAAGTAAGGGTTATGCATGTTGACCTACCTCAAATAAACCGTATTTACATATTCAAGGGAGGAGACATACAAATACATGCAAGTTACGAACTAAAAGAAGCAACCATAAAGGGATGAGCAAGCCAAAGTATAAAGAGAGAACAACTTCCCATCGGGATGCACATTTCAACCTAAACCTTGTCCTGCGTGCTATGCTCTGAGCATTAAAAGTGTGACACCCCTAAGAGATTTTTGTCTCGTTCCTCATTGTCAGAGTGGGATTTGCCACAACAATTTCTACTGCAGAGAGGGACAATGCTCAGAGATATTTATTGTATCTTCATTCAGGAATATTGTGATGTTTAAACGTCAAGGTAATCTAACTGGACGCGATAAAAGTAATATTTATTTACTTTTTCCAGTGGTTCTTTTTCTGCAGCACTAATATAAAACAGTCATATTCAGCAGCAGCAGTTAACCAATACAGCCAAAGTTGTACAAAAAGCAAATGATCAAAATGCAGTCACCACTTTACATCCAAATTACCTGTGTTACTTTGAAATAAAGGGCCAGCATGTGAGAACAGTCAGTATCTGCCATCGTGCAGTCACCTGATAAAAGAATTGGAAAAGCTCCTAAAATGTTAATGCGCTGTAACAGAGAACATTTTTCCCACCTTTCATAATTGCAGTGTGGCAGTTCCTCGCATGACACAACGGTGTAAACATGCACTGAGATGTATTGACGATGGGGTTTGCTGTCCTCAGGGCATCCAGAAGTGTACTCATAATTACACTGGGTGGATCACAGATGTTCTATGAGAGATGTGTGTTAATATATTATGTGTAAAAACAGAGTGGAAGTCTTTCACTTTGTATTTTATTGGTCCTTCAGTCTGTCTCTCTATGTATGGATACTCTGTGCTATAGCTCTTCTAGCTATAAGACACCTCTTGCACTACTGTTGAGATCTGTGAAAAAGTTGCAAACTTAAAAAACGAAACTAAACATGAGTTTCAATTCAAGTGAATTTACAGGGCTTCTCTTTTTTTCACTTTCAAAGCAGCACAAAAGGAGTGGTCTGAGAATGAGGACAACCCCTTCTCAGAAGAACTACTTATAGCCATAACAGATCAAACTGAAACTTATTTTATCCCGCCATCACAAAATGCATCTCCTTACTCTGATCTGTGGCATTGTGCTTCTCTCTAAAGGCAAGGTTACGTTATGTTTTTGACAAGTACATTTTTAAGAGATGGAGGATCTTCATTTTCATTTTTTTAAAATGTTTTTTTATATATATATATATATATATATGTATTTTATATTTACCTTTACAAATGTTAAAACTTTTTTTTTTTTACTTATCTGAATATTGTGTTTCCACAGCCCACACCCTGAGATGTTATGAGTGTGTGGGACTCTCAGGAACCTGCCAAGACAAAACAATAGAATGCCCTTCGTCAAGTCAACAGTGTGCTGCACTTCATTTAACTATATATGCAGGTATGGTCATTTGTGTTGCATTGTTTTATCGTAAAACTGCTTTGTCCTGTTCGGTCTATAAAGGTTCCTCTTTTGTTGCAGGTTCAATACTAACTGAAGTCAAGACAAAAGGCTGCGCTTTGGCTCAAGAGTGTGTGAACGCCTCAATCAACAACGGAATCTCTAAAACCATAATTACCAGCGAGTGTTGCAACTCCGAGCTCTGCAATGACCAATTTGCCCCTGGTAACCTACTTATATTGTCTGTTATTTTACACTGAGAGCTGTTTTAGTTGCAGGAGCAAACACTGTTAAAAATGTGACTACTCTCCTCACTACTACTACTCTCCTTAAAAGTTAGAGTTGGTTGCATTTGTCATATTTTAGATGTCAAAATAATGACTTGTATAATTAAAAAAATATGTATATATGATTTTACTGAGTAAATAATATATTTTAAACATATATTAGTTCTATATTCATGTCTTGTGCTGGATAGACATTGTGAATTGTGGATTGATGCCAGTGAATGTATCAGAACCTGAGACATACGTATGCTTGGGCAAATAGGGTCAGAGAAACAAGAATCAAATTTCAAAACCAGCCAGTATGAGGAAATTACTTTTCCCCAATATCACCATCCATTATAGAGGAGCCCAGGGGTAATATACCCCCAACTGCCACAGTGTAGCTGTGTGTGTATATGTGTGTGTATATGTGTGTGTCTGAAAGAGAGAGAATATTCATAAATCTGTTCACCAGCATATAAAGAGCTTCAAAAAGGCACGAAAGGAAGAATAGTGCATTGCAATAACCCCCCAATCCCCCTATACATAACCAAGTAGTATGAACAATGTATGTTTTATATTACAGTGCCCAGCAAATCCATTGCAAATGGTAAAAAGTGCTTCCAATGCAACGGAAAAGACTGCACCGCAACTCTAAACTGTGAGGGAACTGAAGACCACTGCATCTCAACCAAAGGTAACAAGCCTGCAAGCATTTAACATCTTACTCTGTTCCACATATTCCTTCTGCTCAGAGAGGGATTCTAGATGAACGCACTTACATTATTTTTATTCTCTCAGTGACTACAAGAGGTGAATCAATCACCCTGAAGGGCTGTGCCTCCAAGGTGATGTGCGCACCTGAATCTACAACGATGGCAGGAGCCGCTGGAACAGAAATAAGCTGCTGTCAGGGGAATTACTGCAACAGCGCCAGCAGCACAAGTGCTGGCCTTCTGCTCCTGGTGACACCGCTGGTCTCTTTGGTCGCGCTCTCTTAAATAGTTGAGACAGTAGCATAACCCCCAGCTTCTCATCTTTGCAAGGCCTCATAGTGCTCACACCCCTCCTTATCCGTTCAACTGATGAGTGAGAAAATTTAGCTGGCAAAGCGTTTAAATATAGTTTAGTAAAGCTGTGATTTCCATTTATCTCTTATCAGCTAGTTTCTAACCAGCTTATTTACATTTTTTAGCATGTTGCCTACACAACAGCATCTGTCTTGCGTAGAATGGTTCTTTCTGGGACGAGAATGTATATGAGTGCGATATTATTAACCTGAAACCTATTTTTAATTACAATTATCAAGAATATTTTGATGTCATTGACAAAAGAAAAAGCTGGATAAATAACTTTCTCAAATTTCTGCTGTGTATTCAGATTTCTGTTTTCTTGAGTCCTTAAAATCCTGTCTCAGTGTCATTTAAAAGATGTGTGTCAGGCCCTCAGCCTATATTTGCTTATTCCAGACTCTGATTTAAAGTTGAAGGCATCCTTGAGTTTTATTAATGGGGCATGATGTCACTCAAAATGTCACTCTAGGAGACACAAAAAGAGACACAAAAAGATAAAAATAAAGATGAAAAACTACTGCAAAGAGACCACAAGAGACTCGCAACTATGAAAATGGAACAACCAACCAAAAAGAAACACAAAATGATTACGAAGAGACACAAAACAAGTGCAAAGGGTTAAGGGGATAAACAACCATAGACAGAAATACTTTTAAACTCTTGTAAACTCTGGCACACAGATACGAATGTCTAGTTAAGGTCAGGAGGTTGGCAGATTCACAGTGATAAAATAGGTTGAATAGTACGAAGCCTGGGACTGATCCAGCTCAATCTAAACAACGCACGCACCAAAGTTGTCAATGTAAAGATGTGAGCTGTTACACCGTCTCCATGATAAGCTTTTAGCGGAGACAGAGAGGTGGACATTTGGTCCACAGCCAGGTGTACATCGGAATAAAGTGCAATTAGCAGATAACAATTACAAAGTGACGCAAAACCACAGAGAGATGCCTTACGACTACAAAGAGACAAAACAACCAAAAGAGACTGAACAATTATAAAGTCTGTGTGTCTTGCTCAGATGAAGGAGAGGTTGTGGGACCTTTTGCCAGTCTGTGCACAGGGGCCCGTCGTCTCTATAATCCATCCATGAGCCTGTCCCCGTCTTTAAATGTGTATTTGTTGATTGTACATAACTGGCAGGACATGTGAAGACTGAAGAGGGACACTTGTTAACGCTGTGACGACCCCTCCCTTCCACCAGGGGTCTGTGTCCTGTTTTCTCCTCAGTTGTCTTCCAGGATGTTAATCGGCCACTGATGGGCGACACCTGAGCTTTGGGTTGTCCCAGCTATAAAGGCTGCCCCTCTTCTTTAGCTGTGGTCCCTCTCTGCGGTCTTTTTAGAGGACCTGGCTGCTGCCTTGTTTTGATTGTTTATTTAGTTTAGTTACTGGTTCATTAAATAAATGTGTAGTGACCGTTGCTTCCCAATAAAAAAGTCACTACGGTTGCTGTAATGTTTGTTCTGACGCGTGCCATAAATAACAAAGTCCAGTTTCGAATATAGGCATTTTATTCCTCACATAATCAGAGTTCACCACTTTCTCTTCAGTTATCCATTTTCTCCTCATACCAATAAATTGTAACATTTGCATTCATTAAATCTTCACGGTCAAAAACTGTTTGCTTCTACCTATTAGCAACAACCTGTGTCCAATGACCCCACTGATTATATTACCTGTGGCCTGATTCACACCGGCACTACGCCCCCATGTGGTGGGAGGTTGTACAAAAACAAAACGACAAAATGGCTCTTACAAAATGTCAATTTATTACTTTTAACTCGTCTTGCCTCCCTCATGTTACGGCCTTTTGAGCCGGGTCGTGACAATGCGCTTTTAGGGTTTGCAGCTTCCTGTTTGGCCACTTGATCAGACAGCAGGAGAAAAACTAGGGAAGTTCACTCAACAGAGTGCAGATCTCTGTCAAGTGTGTCTGTAACGAGCACTGCTGTATGTTTGATTGAATGAATATAATCACAATTGCGTTTTATGCTTCAAGTCTATTTTTTTTTCAATATGATGCCCAACAGAAGGTCACTGAATACATATATGTATCACTTGAAGCATGTGCCACAAACAATGTCATTTGTCACAGTCATATGGGAGTGGACCTACCAGGAATGTAGATGCCCTTTAGTCTCTCTCTCTCTCTCTCTCCCTCTCTCTCTCTTTCTCGTTTAGAGGAAAATAATCAAATTACATTGGAATTGTATGCACAAGACAAACTATTGAGTCAAATTGAAAGATTGTTTTTTATTTATTATTATATTTGACAGCTGATAAGCATTCTTTAAAGGTGCACTGTGTAATCCTTTGCCACATGCTCCAAAGAAATAGGGGGCAGCATTTCCCCTCTGCTGCTAAATCCATACTATCTAAATCAGTTAAAAACAACAACAAACAAGCCCATACTACCAACTAACAGCAGGGCAAGAATACACACAATTCCACTAAACTGCTGAAATTCTGAGAGTTGGTCAAAATAACTCTGATGCAGACGGCACAATCTTGGCGCTAGGAGCTGACACACGCTGAACTCCTGACGAACTCGTCTCCTGGAGTCGGGGAAGACGAAGTGAGGGTGCGAGTTGTTTTCTCATTTCTGTCACTTTGGATTTAATCCAATACACAATATACTGTACATAACAAAAAAACTACTTATTTGTCCTCCAGACTGATGGCAGAAGCCACAGTGACTCACTATCACCTAATGAGGAACAAGTGGTATAAGAAGACAGGACGGGGCTTTAAATAGTTTTCTAAAATTCCGGCCCTATCTTACACATTGCACCTTTACATAAAGCAAGTTTAAATGCAAGACAAACTTCACTTCCCCACACATGCAAACATGTACTGTGCAGTATGTGTATGATTGTAAAATAATAAACAGCAACACGTCCTGGAAGCATGCGATGATTCCGAGATGTCTTGAAGAACTCAATAGTTGCCGTACATATGGAAATCCTGTAACAAATTTGAGGAAAATTGGAATGAGTTACAATAGTTCTGTTGCTGGTGAGACAAGTACTCGGGATGTTGATATGGTGAATCCTGGGTGCTTTCCATTAAATTATGCTTTCTCACATCCTCTGGCCCATGGCCCAAAAGCAGGCTACCATAAGCAGGGCATCCTTTATTGTTCGATGCCTTTTTCCAAATGGTTAGTCAGGAAACATGATATAACCTACTATTTTTCAGAAATAAGTAGCAATGGCATCACTGTTTACCACAGCACTACTAACCTCCGGCCTGACAGAGCGGGGAGGTCTCCGGTTACTGGAGCAAACAGAAATATGACAGGAAGCAGACAATTAATGGACAAGTATCTGAGACACAGTGGTATGACATTTAAAAGAGATAGGAACAGCTGTGTTTGTAAAACTCACTCCTTCGGGAATGGAACGCATTGTTTGAAGAGTTGAGCATCACAGTTTACAGTGGTGGTGTTGTTTCTACGGGAGGAGGAGGGAATCACACAAGATCAGTGTTTAGGGCTGTGTGATGTGGTAGTGGAACATCGATAAACACTTACAAATAGGCAACACTGAGGTTCACAGTGTTACCTTGGTTTCTACCAGGTTAATAAATATATTCATATTAATTGATTTCCATTCCTAAAATAGTAGGAATGGAAGTTCCATTCCTACTATTGATTATTATAACAGAAGTTTGAAAATAGAAAACCTCCTCCAGTATGACTTTCTGTAAGAACAGTGTCAATTAAATATTAAACAGTTTGAAATAGTGAGAATGGTAAAATCTAAAAAAATACAAAAAACACCTACCTGGGTTCCCTCAGATTTTTCAACTCAACATGGCCATCTTCTGCTCTCCTGAAAAGGGAAGAAATGTAAACACAAGGCAGTAAACAGGGGATTAAACATGAATGATTAGTCTTGGATATTCTTACCGGGAAAATCGTCTCCAAATGGACCCCCTGTATGGAAATAACAGTGTTAATGCGTGTCAGTATTAGGTCTACTGTATTTGTCCAGTTTGTTAAGCAAGCAGTCTGCTTACACACCGTTTTTCTGGCCTTGGAGGTCTCTGCCTGTCATCAGGGTTTCTCCTGGAAATTTCGTTAAGTGGAAAATATTTATGTAAACCGATTACAGCACATCCACAATTTTATATGAGACCAACAAAAGAGACTTACCTGGATAATATATCCCAGAGTGATCTCCTGTGATAGTTGCAGAGACAGAGATTTAAATAGCTTTTTTGATGGAAATACAGGATGTATGTATGACAAAAGAATCCGGCAGATCGCTGAAGCTTCAATCATCATCAATACAGCAGCTGTGTGGCAGCTGATTAGTAACGTCCAAAGCAAACGTTCTAATCATTTTTCACATTAGTACTTTGGGAAATACTAATCTAACTCAACAAACATATACTCAATGTGTGATACCATATATACACAGCGTGTTAAGTCTACAATCATTTCATTCAGCAGTTTGTTTGTTTTAAACTTTGGATGGACACTAAGAAATAATGGCATCATAGAATGGGGAACATGACGACCTCTTAGAGTTGCTCCAGCTCTGCGTTGGATTTTGCAGTAAACCTATAATCATATTGAACTCTATAATAACAATAAATAGAATAACTCTGAAGCAGCTGCCCTTACAAACTACCTACTGTTGCATGCACTAAACACACAATTAGGATATACTACTTCATCATAACATAGGCACTGCTCACAGCAGCCATTTTGACCTGCCATCATAGATAAACACAGGTGTAATTAATTAACATTAATTATCAACCTATCAATAAGTCATTATTATACCTGTGTCTACATCACTGCTATGAAAAGGGCCTATTGAGCCTTGAACTTTGACCCTCTTGCTCATATATCTGGGGGCTTGTTAGCGGTCATCAGGCTGTGCTTTCTCAGCATCTCAGTAAAATTTGACGCATCTGTCACTGCCCAGAGGATTGTGGCTCAGAATGGCCAGAAAAGCTTGCTGGCTTGCACACTGCAAAACGCAACCTGATGCAGTTTTTGAGTAATTTTCTTGTGTTCCTGACTGAAATCTAGACATCAATGACGTCATCATTACTCATTACGGTTTACCTACAAACCTTTTCTCTGGTCGAGGTGGTTGTCTCAGTGAGTCGTCAGAGCGCTTCCTGTTGGTTAAAAACATTCACTCGTAAATGTTGACTTTGACATTCTACAATAAACAATAGCATCACTATAGCACAGATATTACCAATCTACAGTATTGGCATCTTTTGAATTGACATGTATTTACCTTCTCCTATAGAAGACCACTCCAAACACTGCAGCTAGGATGATAACAATCAGGACTGGCACTGCAATGGCTACTGCCCGAGAGCTTGATCCTGGTGATGTACATTTGACAACTCAATGTATGATAGAATTGCAAGACATAAGCAGAACAGATGCATTTTGTGGCTCTCACCCTTCACAGTCAGCTGGACTGTGTTGGCTTGCTGCTTGCCCCGCCACCAGATGGCAGTACAGGTGAGGGTTTTGGCCCCATCTCCTCCAGCAGCCATGAAAGTGATGGTGGAGGTCGTCTGCCAGATGCCCTGCGGTGTCGAGGTGTGCGTGACCTCACTGGTGAGGCTAGGGACACTCCATGAGAACACTGGTGGATGTGATGGACATGTGTGCGTCACAGAACACGAGACGGTAATCGTTGAACCGGCGTAGATTTCTGCTGGAACTGAGGTCATCACTGGTTTTCCTGGGGACGCTGAGCATGTGAAACACAAAGCAGAATACTTATGTTGATTAGAAAACAGATAAACAGATAAATAGCTTGGCATATTTAAAGAAAATTAAGACTTTTCAGACCTTTCATAACAATAAATACGCAGCTATTGTTGAATCTGTGTCTGTTATTGTTTCCTTTCTCTGCATGGAAACAGAAGGGCCCGTTGTCAAAGGGCTTGATGTCATCGATCTCTAATGAGCAGTTTCCCTCATTCACATCTCCTAGTATTCTGGTGCGGCACTTGAAATGGTCAACCACATAGCTTGGGGCATTGTGGTAGATGACATCCCCAGTTTTTTTGGACCAGATGCCACGCGTGACAGGCTCATCCTCCTGGTACGGGAAGCTGCAGGGAATCACCACACAGGAGCGAGTCAAGGCGCTGAATCTGAAAGGGACCTCAGCATCCACAGCGTGGAGAGCTGTAGAGGGAGAGAGAAACAAGCCATGATGGGATGCCTGTAGAAATCAGTCCACTTTTGACATAACATGGCAGCAGGATGAGTTTTGAGAGAATGGAGAAGTACACCCACTGTCATTTTCATATGGATCAACTGGTCTGACATATTCTGTAACGAAAAAAGACAGCAATCAATGATCAATGTGTCATCATTAGAGCAAATGTTTGACATTTTGGTAAATATTTTTATTTGCTTTTCTTGCAGAGAGTTGTCAGAGAAGAGTATTAAAACTCCTACATGTCCGTTAAATGTAAGGCTAGAGTCTCCAGCTTAGATTAGTTTAGCATTAAGAATGGAAATGGGAAACAGCTCGCCTGGCTCTGTCAGCAGAACATCTAAAGCTCACTAGATAACACTTTCTATTTTTTGTAAGTTTGATCCATCTAAAGCCCACTGGCAAAAACAACATTTCACCATAATACTGGGGCCGCTGAGCAGTTGAGCAACCCGATGAGACTGCAAGCAAGAAGTGGTTGGGTACATTTCCCCTGTATAAATAATACATCTTTGCTGCTTTTCAGTTTCTGTACAGATGAAACAAACTATTCATAACATGTTAACCAATGAGCTGTAGAGGGGTCGGAGGGTGGATTTTGTTACTTTCAGACACAGCCAGGCTAGCTTTTCCCCCCTTTACCAGCCTTTGTGCTAAGCTAAGCTAACCTGCTGCTGGCTGTAGCTTCATATTCAACAGACATGTAAGAGTGGTATCAATCTTCTCATCTAACTCTCTGCCAGAAAGCCAATAACAATAGCTTCCAACATCTAAAACAATTCCTTTAAGTGACAACTATATATGACATGAACTTACTTTTTATATGAAGTATTTCAGAGTCTGAAGTCTCCCCAGAAACAAACTGAGCAGTACAGGTCAAGGATTTACCGTCATCCTCAAGAGAGCCAATGAAGGTTAGATTTGACACAACGTTATCGGTATTGCTGGAGATTTCTTTGGTTTTGAGCGAACTCTGCATGTCTTCGTAATTCCACTCAACGGTTGGTTTATTTTTCTTACACTTGTAGGAAACAGAACAAATGACACTCTTTGCCACACCCTCTGTTTCCACACCTGGCCGCTCAGTCATTGTGATTTCATCATATGGACCTGAGCAGAAAGGTGATAGTGAGGTTTAAATCTAAACAGGAGCATTTTAATTTTAATTCAATCACTATTGTCTGACACTGTACTCACATTCAACATTCAGCTTGAGCTCACTTGTGGCTTTCTGACCACTACGGTGACTAACAGTACACTTCACACTCTGGTCCTCCTCTTTTACGAGCCAAGTTCGCTCTGCTCTCCTTTCCCAAATCCCATCAGATACCAGAGTGTCAGTAATCGCCTCTTTTCCAGGTACACCATCCAGGTTTAGGGTCGGGGGGGGCAGAGGCACACGCATGGCGCACATTGCAGGACACTGTGCTCTCCTCTCCCACCCTGGGGATACCAATGATGCTCAGCTGCGGTTCCTGTGCATGGTCTATAATCTATCATTTTTGAAAACTGCCTGTCTTGGAATTTGGATTTAATTGACAAAAAAAAAAACGGGAATGAATGCATCCAGATACTTGCCTAATACAATAAGTTCAGAGGTTTTGTCATAAAGCGTGTGACCCACACTGTGGTAGGAGGCGATAGGGTTCAAGTCTACCCATGGATAAAGTCTGTCCTGGTTGTGCGACATCTCCAGCTTCTCAATCTTAAGACTACAATTCTTCTCCCCAACAGATCCAATCAAGCTAGTTATCCCGTTAAACTTACTAATAATGTTTTAATTTTCGCCAAATACAGGTGGGTACCCATTGCTCTGGAACAAGTACCATATAACTCGCAGGTCAGCAGGCTGGGAGATACTGTAGGGGAATGTGCAAGGAATGATGATACATGAGCCTTTAATGCCAGTGATGCTGCGGGGGTGGTGAAGGACCAGCTGCGAGAAAGCATCTTTTCTGTAGAAAGAGGAAGCGTTTAAAGTGCAGTTGGACGTTTTTAAAAGCAGCTCAAGAAATGAGTGGTGTTTCCACTCAGAGTGTTTCATCTGAATAATTTTTGGAGGTAGGAAGAAGATAAAGAATTGAAAAAAGTATTAAACAATTTAGTGTAACGGAACTGTCATTTCTTTCCTTTAACCGTTTTTTGACATCCCATTCATGGGAACTATCTTTCTAAACAAGCTCACATTGGGAAATTATCTTATAGTTGTATTTCATTTTCTAAGTTTTAATTTTTTGAAGAAAGAGCGGCAAAAATAGACACTTCCACATTAAGAGAGGGCTGGCAAAATGAGACGAGTCAATTACATTGAAATACCTTTCAGTTCTATTGCAGACTTTGTTGGTGATGCAGGGCAGTTCTGGTATATGACTGCTTTAAAGGCTATTGGCTTGTTACATAAAGATTATCATTATTTGTACTCATTCTTTACCTGTAGGGTGATGCTCTTTTCCTGCCTTTGTCCCCCAGTGAATTGTGCAGAGCATGTCAGAGATCGTCCATGGTCTTTAGCTGATGCTGTAAATGTCAGTGTGGAGACAGACCTCCACTCAGTATTTCCTCTCTTGCTGGTGTCAGTGGAGGCCGGCATGGTACCATAGTTCCATGTGAGAGTTGGAATATGTTTTGGGCATGTGTATGAGGCAGTGCAGATTACTTTGCTTGCCTGTCCCTCAAGAAATTCATCTGATGTGTGGCTGATAGTCAAGGGTGAAAAGGAGCCTGAGATACAAATGGTAAATGTTAATAATTTTAGGTCAGCATCAAAGAAAAATGGTTTAATTCTTGCGTAACCATCACATACATTCTGCATTTAGGGTTTTGGTGGCTTTTGCAGTCAGACCGCTAGTGTGTCGGACAGAGCACTCCACACTTTGGTGATCGCTCTCTATGTTCAACGTGGTCATCAAGGTAGTTTGGATGTGCCACCAGATGTGGAGCTTTGAGTTAGGCTGTGGCTTCGCAGTGGGATGTTGAGACTCAGAGTCGGTGGATAAGTGGAACAGGTGTGGTAAACAGTGCATTGCACGATCACGGGCTGTCCAACCTTCATGCTTCCAGAGATCATAATGGATGGTGTCTCTGGCCTGCCTTTACAAAGGAAATGTGAAAAATTATTGATGAAATTAATATACATCTAAAAATGTATCTTTTTATATAAGCTCACCATGATTACTTACTCACTACTTCAATTGTGACAGTTTTGTCAAAGAATCGGTGGGTGTATCTTCCAATATTCTCTGGATCTACCCAAGGGTAAATCCTCTGTCTGTGGTGATGCCACGTCACTGGGTAGATTTGAAGACTGCATTTCTTGTTGAAATTAAATACTCGTGTTTTTCCATAAAATATGCCAATGACATCAGATGGGTACCAATCGTCATAAACTATTGGATATTTATGGTTGGCATACTGGTACCAAACCACACGATCTGGTCTGCGAGGTGGATTACTATAGTAGTCAAAAGTGCAGGGGATGACAAGGCAGGAACCCACCAATCCTTTGATATTGCCTGGCATATATACATGCCAGGCCCTGGAACCGCAGAAAATGTATCCTGCAAGAGCAACAATATGCAAAAGGAAAATGTAAGAATAGGTCAGTGTTTATATCCAACACACACACACTGGAAGAACAAAACTGCATTACCTAAAATATAGAAGCTCAGGAGAATATGGCTTAACCCAGGCATCTTGGAAATGGTACCACACACCTGAAATGACATGAAATGAACATCTTAGTTTGCATTGCGATACCTCTCACCACAGCACTCACCTCACAGGCAGACTGCACAAAAGGGCAGAGCACTAGAAAGAATAAAGGACTGCGAACCACCAGTGTTGCGTAGCACTGTCACTGGGCACCGGTCCTCAGCCTCTCTTGTGAGCGACACAAATCCATTCAAGATGAACTGTTTGAAACACTCATCAGGCTTTTGGATTGGTGGCTAACTCAACTCCCTTTGGCTGCTGCCTGGAAGCTGCCTCTGTGGTGCGGTCTATCAAGTGACCCGGATCATAACAAAAAAAACACTGTTTCTCAGCATAAGGACCCGACCGAGAAACATTTCCACGTGGCACATATGTGCTACAAAGTTTCTGCGAATACTCTGCTGAGAATCTCGCCTCGAAAACACATTTCTATGCATGACAGCAAATTCATCTGCCAGCCTAGCGGCCTGCTGCAGGGTGGTCACTTTTTGCTCATTTAAATAAACCACAGTACGCTCAGGCAACCAATTTTTTATTTCTTCTAAAATGAGTTCACACACAGAGGCTAGTTCGTCAGCGTTACATGCTTTACACCAACAATCAAAAATAATAATTTTATCCCGAGCAAAGTCAACGAAAGTCTGGTTGTACGCCTTCTTAACCTTTTAAGCTCTGAGCCTATTTTTAGGCCTCTGCTCAAAAAATTGCATATACCCATACTAAAAAGACTGTAATTCTATAACTACAAGATGTACAGAGGGTGAATGTCTGCAGCTGTATTTGGGCGGAGTAACAGTTTAAAGGCCAAGACTATTGAACCAGAATAGATAAAAGAAAAACAAACCCAAAAAGACAATGTGAAAAAAGAGAGAGCACACATGCATTTTACATCCTGTACATAAATGGCCCAAAATATCAAGTGATTTCATACATACCGATAGATATATATGTATATACTAACGCAATGAGAGTCTGCTACGTCATGTGCATGTGCTGGAAAAATAGCAAATTCAATCTTTGATGTATTTATTTTCAAAATAAAACAGGGAAAACTTATTTATAATAAAAATACAGGCAAAATAGGTAGCAATAACAAAAAAGGGTTGCAAAGAATACATATAGATTACTTAATCTGATACATGGTTTGCCATAGAAAGAAAGAAAAATACAACCTGAAAACTATTTTAAATAAAGACACCTTTCTAGGCCTAGAAAGCATTTTTCAACATACCGAGATAGTTGCTCGTTTCTAAAGCAGTTCAAGTTTTAAATGTTCTAAAGTTAGGTCAGTCAATGTTAATTTGTGGCAATATGGTATATAAAAGCAGAACAAGGTTGATGTTGTAGTCCAGAAAAACATTCTCCATTTCAGAAAACTCCTGAGACGGACTAAGGGCAACAAGAAAATTATAATCTCATCCTAAAGATTTATTTTGAGTAAAAAAGAGACAGTAAATTGTAAAGTGGAGACGGATATTTTAGCAACATGCAAGATCTGTTTCCTGTACTTAAACTTAACTGTCTCAGATTTGGAATGAAAAAATCTAACTCTGTGCCGTTCTATTAGAATTTCAAAGAAGCAATGATGTCACCATAGTTACATAAATCAATATTTTGGGAAAATTAATTTGAAATTCAGTTTTTCATCTAATACAGTTGTAAAATGCAAGGTAAAGAAAAGCTTCTTTTATTCACTAATTCGAAAATATCAGAATGACTTACCCCAAGAGTTGAAAGTTTATGAAGCGTTTCAGCACCTTTTGAAGTCCCTAACCACTCATGAGTTGAAGAAACCTCACTCTAAAATGTACAATAAAATCAATAACCCATATCATACTGAGTTCTTACATATTGCTAATATACTGTATAAAAACATTTGACCTGTATTTAGATGCTGGAAGATAATTACCCATGATATATAGGTCCTGTTTACAGCTTTTTGGCTTTTCCCATTATGAGGTCATATTTTTAATTATTTAACATTTTGGGAAATACACTTACAATAATAATACATTTAATACAATTCACCTTTTTGCCAAGAAAAATATGGAACCAGACACCTGATGGTTTGCTTTGCATTATTAAGATTGAAAACCTCATTGGAAAAATCACTAACAATGGTGAAAACAAACAAGTACTCTGGCTGAACAAAGTTGCACTTACCAATGAATTTTACTTTCCCTAAATAATTGATGAAATTATCAAAGAGAGAATCAAATATAGTTTGCTTGATAACAGAGAATACCACAGTAGTCGTGTATAAAAACTGCAGTCATCAGATGCTCTTAATACAGATGACCATTATGAGCATGATTAGAATCTTTTGGTGTTTTTTCATATGTTTCCATAGATGTTGACGTCGGCAGTGTTCATGTAATCGTCCCCGTCATCAAGGTCCTGTGAAAGATTGAGGTCATTATTGTCACAGATGTGTCATTGTTCTGTACGTAATTATTGGGAATTAATCAATGGCAATTGAATAGTACCTCTTGGTAATTGCAGGATTTGGGCTGGCTGAGGACCATAAACAACAGTAATAACAAGAAGAGGGAGAAAAAGAATGACATTACTGTACTTCAATATGTGATATCTGTATTTTATAAACTGATCAGGTTTAATTAAGAGGAGTCGACCAAGTACCTTTTGGGGGACGGGAAACGAACTTTGGACACTTTCTGGTCGGCACTGGATTTTGAACCTGAATCTTTTGAATCTTTTGAATTTGAATTTTTGGTCCTGTGGATTAAAATTCACATCACTGAAGTTCAGCAACCAACAATTAGCTTTATTTTTTTACGTTTAACACACTTATGTATTACTTCAATCCACTATGTCCTCTTTAGGCCTTCTGTTATATTTGTATGTAATACAAATCAGTAACATTTAAATGCAGAAAATATAAGAAATGTACTAGTTTCATTAGATTAAAATACATGATCAAAAGTTAAGTTTGATTTTACTGTGAAAACCAAAGTGTGTTTGAACTGTGATAAAAATCAAGTGATAAAATTAACTTGTTAAATCAGTCATTCATCGAAATAGAACTGCATAAAAAAGAAGAACAGAAAATATGCAAGTGTTGTGAGGCATATCAATACATCTTATCAAGAATGCCAGAAAAGCATCAAACGTGCACAGGCATGCAAATTACAGTGAGGCCAACCACGCAGAGGCCTA